TACTAGTAGTACTAGTACACTGATTCAATTGAGATGGAAATGATGACAATCTAAAACCTGTTCAAACATTGAGATTTTTAAGGGTCATTCAAAAGAACTTATAAAAAACAATGAATTGATTACTGATAACAGGAATGCTAAGTCTGAAATCCATGACATATTTCAATGGAAAATACCTATACTACCACTATTGAGCTTGAAATTATTTGTTGGAAGTCTAACAGAGCAAGAATTAGAATTATCCGGTTTTGTTGGTATTTTCTGCTATGCAAAAAGTGTGAACACAAATAACTACAGTACGATTTGAGTAGCATTTAACTAAATATTTAGTTGGCTTTAAGCCTGCTTAAAGATAGCTTGGCTTGCATACAAACTGCCATATATCTAAATTCACAGAATAATGTACATAAATATGTCTCATATTAGTAACATACTACAAAGAATAAGTTGAAATCATTGATGACAATGTTACTTGCTTTAAAAATTATTTTACAGAAAGCCAGTGAATAAATAGCCAGCTTGGAAGTTACACCCAGACTGTACTATAAATGTCATTGTTTAATTTATGTAGGACATCCGAAAGTTATGAGACAATTTAAGAAACAAACAATCTGTTCAAACTGTCAAATGGTAGCCCAGGGTCGAGAATTGTTAGTGTGTACACCTTGGGCTACTGTTTAAGGGCATGAGTCTTAGTTTTTTTTGCAATTTGTTCATGTTTTCTAAATTCACAGATAAAAAAAGAAATTAATTGTCTTGTGTGCAGAAAAGAACTCTATGTTCAAAGCAAAATATATTTTTCCCGCGAACGATTCCTAAAAGATTTTAAAGCTTGTATAGGTTCTTTGAAAACAGACAGTTAAGGTGAGATATTTTTTTTTTATTGCGCGCCGATATGCGTTAATAAAAAATCATGCTTGAAATCGCGATAGCGTTACCATATTTTATGTTTCCATTGCTTGTTTAAACAAAGTCAAACTTGGCTAAAAGATTTTGTTTTTACATGGAGGTAAAATAGGTGGTTTTTACTTATGATCGCTTATTTTTCAGGTCATTGAGTGTAGCAACTTTTTTTTTTTACCGTAAATCATTCATTTTTTAAACACACATGTTGTGACCAAATTTATTAATTTTAACATTTATGTGATGAGAAGTTTTTGCATGTTAGTGATGTTACAGTTGAGTTCAACATGGATTTCTATTTTCATCATAGTCTTTTTAATGACCAACAATGTTTTAGAGGAAATTTATCAGTTATACAACAGTTACTTTTGTGAGCAACATGGCAAATCATGTTTACTTTACAGAGGAATATTTCATTTTGCAGTAATTTTATATTTTATGATAGCTATTTTTACTTTGTTTTTAAAAGTAAATTGATAACATGAAATTAAAAATTCCTATTCCATATAGCAATTTTTACACTATTATTATTTATTAACATAAACATTATAATTACAGCTGGTAGTTTTCATGAATACATGGAACACATACAAGCAGTATATTGTTATTTTAGTGTGGGTACTGTGGTTTAAATTAGCATAACCTTTTTTCAAAATAAACTTTCCTGTTTCATTGTGTAATGATATATATTTGTTTTATTTAATAGTTTCAGATTATGGATCAAAAGGGTTGATGATAAAGTCTTTAAACATATACTGATATTCATGAAATTAACCAACAGAAGATTAAACCCTATTAATCTTGTTATATGATTAATTAAGATAAATGAAGTGGTCAATATCTAATATGCAAACAAACTATCTAATGAGCAAATAAACTATAACTATCATAGAACTCAGACTAGTAATACTAGTCTGAGCATAGAACAAGCAGAAACAAGCTCAATGGTTATATGTATGATGCCACACAGATAATTTTGGCTCGGTTAAAGGTACATATAAAAGAGAGGTAATTGGACATAAAACTGTACTAGTATGTATTCACTACACCTCATATCGATGATATTACAGTAATTGTACAGAAGACATAGTGTTTTGATATATATATATATATAATTATTTTGACAGAACACTGACTAGAAATAGTACTGTATTTACCCTATTACAAGCACATCTCCAATAGAAACCCATATGCAAAAATCACATTCATTTTATACTGAATCATTAAAACTTATTATGTGCATGCAATACTGATTAAGCAAATATGGTACACAATATGGATATTAAAATCTACAGCTATAATATACTTGTTTTTAAATTTCAATAGATATATTGAATGAGTATCCATATAGCACTCACCAAACAAACAAAAATACAATCTTGGTTTAACTTTTTGAACTGTGAAGAAATGCTCTCTATACAATTCTGTCTTGGAACACTGCATTATGCTTTATCAAGTAGTTGTCAAGTATGTTTAATTGTGTTTTGTTGTAACATGTTGTATCTATGGGCAACTGTTGATTTGAAATTCTCAACTTTGTTTTGACTATTGTTTTAATTTAACTGTTTCAGCCATTTTTGAATATATAAATCTTCAATTATGTGGAAATTATTTACTTTGGTATTATTTCTCCAGAGATTGTTTAATTTAAGGGTTTGTAGCCATTGGTTGATGAAGGTTTTAGACGCTTGTTTCCTTGTATGTGCAAATCATTTTTATTGCTGCCTTAATCAGAGAAGAAGATTTATTGTGCTCTTGCCCAATAACATACTACTGATTATCTCTAACAGCATAGTGTAAAGCACTTTATTTTCACCTCATCAATTTATGCTCAACTCATCAAAAATCAGTGAAAAAAAACTTTATACAAAACAGCCAAACTAAAAAAAAAGTGTTTCACAGTTCACCCCATGATAAAATATTAACACTTGCTTTGTGGACTATTTTCAAAATTTTAAATGTAACTTTCATTAAAAAGATGTGATTAATTTTATTGTTTTTTCTTGACTTAATTTATTGAGTGTGTAAGCCCTCAAGACTACACTGTAATAAATAAACTGGTTTAACTGAGCAATCAATCTTTTCACAGCCTTTAAAATCAAATTGCTGATAGTTGATTTTAAAGAATTGTCCGTAGAAAGATAATTACTATTGGCAGTTCATTAAATTGTTGATGTCAAATCTGTCTGCACTGTCCATTTTCTTGTTTATGATTAGTATTCTGTTTTTTTAATACTGACAACTGGTTTCCGGTTTGAATGGTAATTCTGTGAAGTGAATTTTGCAGTCAAGATTTACATTGTCTGTATACATTAACATGGGAGGGTTCATTACTCAGCAATAGGTAATCAGTAGCATTTTTCTTTGGATCTCTGACAAATTATCAAAAATATTGAATAATGTGGGTCATAATTTGTATTACGCACCTATCAGACTTGCACATAATTTTAAATTTTGATACATACTGATAGTCACTTTTATAAATTTGTCACTGGGTTTTAATTTCACTCTTTAAAATCCACTAAATTAAATCCATGTGAACACGTCAAATAACAATATAACGAAATGTTTCCCAGGCAAATTGGTGATGAGAAAGTAAGATACTGTGAAACAGTGACCATTATGGGGGCAAAGCTCAAGATTTCCCAAATACATATTGAACACCTTCTGCTAGAGGGCTTGTCTTGTGTGATGTGAAAGATCTCTACATAAAAAAACAAACAGTGGTGGTGAAAATATGGCGTAATAATGTAATGAAGGACCTTAAACACTACAAATCCTTGACACCGCCTATATCTTGGATATGAGATAAACATTCAGCACATATGATAACCTTGCTCCAGAAGGAAATTGGTGATGTAATGTTTGATGGTGGGCAGAACGACCTTTTCAGTTTGCATTTGAACTAAATCATTGACGAAGTCATTCTTCTCGATTTCAACTGAAGATGTTTTAGCATTATAATACGCTCATTATTGAGCAATACACAACAAGGTCACGGTAATTATTTTCTGTATAACCAGCTGAATTTAATGTCAAAATGAGCCAAATGCTAATTATTTTATAGTATTTTTTATCCAAACGCAGAAGCACAACAACCTCCAATAAAACACTGAATTTATAATGTTACGGAAGCAGACTACGTTACGTTTCTTTTGTTCTTTCCATTTAAATTTAAACCTATATACAAACACAAGTGAGTGACAGACGGCTTAAATATATCACACCAGCCTGAGCACAAGGAACCCGTCACAAACGATTTTGAACACCGTTATGTATATTCACACATAATCATAAAAGGTACAAACAAAATATGGGTAACAGATAACAAAGATAATCGTAGTGAATCAAGTGAGACGACAAACGATGAATATCTAGCGTCGCCTGGGTGCTATAAACGACAAGACAGAATGTTATAATACACACACATCAGTGAAAGTAAAATAAAGAGAAATATGTAAAACATCGGAAAACAATCTCGAGAATAACATATAAAATGTTAACATACTGATATAATACATATTTAATAAAAAAGAAATTACCGGCAGTGGGCAAGACACGGCGAAGTCAACTAGCCCTGCTTCATTTGACGTTCCGCCGAAGCCGAACGCTTTCTCTTCCAGGAGACTGAGGGACGGTTCTTTACTCCCATAATATACAGCAAGGTCATTGTCATAGATCCGACCCACAGTTGATGAAACAAGGCATAGAACCGACGATATATGACAGAAAAGACGCCAAAATGTAGTATGATTTTTCATGATTTGAAAATTTTGGACAGACGAAAAGTCCTTGAAAAGACTCCATCAACGACAGCTCAATAAACATTGGAGGTGAGAGTATAAACTGTACAAACAAATGAGCCACCGGACTAAGCGATTCTCCATAGGGGAGGCAGGTTTTAAATAGATTCGCAGATATTAGTTTGCACTAGTTTTATATGTGAGTATACCCTGAGTACGATTTTAGCCGCAGCAGTAATGCTATTTTAAAATTTAAATGCATATCATAAATTCAGTTATACCTGTACTTATGCAACTTACTATATCGACTCTCCGACAGACTAGCGCCCTCTAGTGTCACGATACCTCCACGATACCAAGCATGGCGGTGAGTACAACACATGTGTATCTTGTCTTTAATAAACAGCTGATATGGAATATTTTAGTACGATTCTAAAGTCTTATTACTGGTACTTGATTGCCTCATGATCAATAGATAGTGGACGTTCATCTGTCAGAATGATCAGAATATCGCTTTTATTTTCCTATCGAGAACAAAATAGATACGGTCAAGGAAGAGACTAGCCCTGCGTACAGT